ATATATATATACACACACACACACACACACACACACACACACACACACACACACACACACACACACACACAACACACACACAATAAATATATAAAAATCAATTAATCATAATGAATTTCTTCAAATTACACGCTCAATTATTTTATTGTGAATTGAAAATTCTTCAAGATAATTGTAATAATTCTTTAGATATTTTTTTTTTATTATATACCTATAATTTGGTCCATCGCCTAAATGATACAGAAATGCAGAATTGCCTTGTGTATCCCATCGCTTTAATAAAAGCTGCATGCGAATTAAACTATCGCTATTCTCGTATAATATTGCAAATGATTTCCATTTAAACTCTGTGACGAGTTGATCATACACCTGCAGAAGTTTTGTTGGCAATTATTATGGAAAATAAAAATTGAAATAAAAAAGAGATTAAATGAAAAATTAAATGAAAAGTGATTTATTAGTTTTTATTTCTTTTTTATTTCTTTTTTTATTAAAATGAATTATATTTTTTTCTTTATACAGATTTTTTTACATAATTTTTTTCAAAAAGCAGACAGGAAGAAATTGCGTAACATATTATCTATTTAAATTATATATATTAGTTGTTGTGTATTTAATGCGATTATAATATTGATTTTCTAATTTTAATTACTTACTCGTGATAACACACTCACGTGCGGAAATAGATTCAAACGTAACCCACGTGGCTCAAAAAATTGACTAGAATCCTGTCGCACGGAAATGTGAGGCACTTCTAATGTATTGCATATACTTTGTACGGTTTCGTCAACCTCCTTTTGTTGAGGTCCAAAAATCCCCGCTATTCCTAAATCGATCAGCTGACATACTAAACGTTTAGAAAAATCGATTTTATGATCCTTAAATTATATCTTTAAACTATATTATTTTAATTTTGGAAAAATAGTTTATGATTATTTATTTAGTAATTATCTTATATAATAATTATTTTATGAGACAAAATAATGTTATATAAGAGTATATTATTTAATAAGTTACATTTTATTAAAATTTTACAAAATATAAATTAGAAAAATTATAATCGTATGTGTCACTTACATTTAGCAAAAATGTTCGATAAGCAAAAATGTGATTACACAATTATTTAATTCAATTATTAAAATTATAAAATCAATTATTAAATTTTATTTATAAAAAAAAGATTTTATATTTTAAATATTTAAAATTGAAGGTGACATACGAGACAGTCAAATGCTCAACGTTAATTGCGCGATTTAATAAAAATCTGATATTCATTATTATTTTAACATTTATTAGCAGCTTCACCTTTCAATGATACTTCAAATGGATCTCCTTCGATTTCTTCCATTTCTGGC